GGGATTTTCTGCCGCGTTAGCCGCTGTGCCGGATCGCATCTTCAGTCGATTTGAATCGGTCTTGCTGATTCTACACGATCACTCCTCAGTTTCACTAGTTTTGAAACTTTACATAGCTCATAAAATTGCCATCTGACAGAATAACTCAGTGCTAAAAGCCAAGCTGCGACTACTGGGTAATGTGTCCCTATGGCAACTCCAAGTGGCGTGAGATCTGATTTAGTGAAGGCTGGTTCCCGCGCCCCAGCCGAAATCCAGTCGTTTTGATCTTGTCTTGTTTTCGTAACATCATTTTTGTTGGAAGAGGGAGCGAGGTAGGTGCTGCGTCCACTTTCCCATGCTTATTGAAATTTATATATAAAAATAACACTACCTGCGCATGTAATCGTGCTTGTCAAGCACTACGGACGAAATACGGTCTCATGAGTTTTCTGTGTTTATCAAGTTATGCAATTTTTGCATCCCTTTAGTACTTCCTTTTTATTTGAGTCACAATTGTTTATCCAGCCTACCATTGAGCTGGTTATGCTTGAACATCGGCTTGGCTGACGTAAATCTCCTCAAAAGTCGCTCTCATTCTCTCGCCACAAGTTCCGTCCTATCAACAATTTGTTCATCCCTCTTTTCTCCTTAGCTGTGTAATCCGGACGAACTGTTGACGGCCCTGAAAAGCGTCCATATCCAACGTGAGCTCTCAGCCCCTGTTACTGGCATTGATTGTACCGAGTCCACGCAACCTCCGTCTTCTGCGGCTTCCACTGCTGGCTCTTTATCTCCCCGCAAGACGTCTGCTCCTGCAGTCATACCTGCCGGACGCGCGCTCAAGCCTAGGGGTGCCCAGTCCATTTCAGAAGTCCTGCTGACTGGGTCTTCAGGCAATGTTGGCGTGCAGGAGCTCGACCTCGGGAATGTAAACCTGCTGTCAGTCGACCGTCAAACCCCTGTCTCCACGAATGTGAGTATTGCGTCCGCCTTTTGTTTATGATTGAGATATCGTCCTTTCCATTTACATTACGTGCGTGATTTTCATTGTTTTGGCACAAGGTTAAGGGTGTTAAGGCGCAGCCAAACTCGAATTAACCCTAAGTTAACTTAACCCTTCTCGGCTGCTAACTTGTATTACGATCGCTCATCTGAGGATTACATTAGTTGTGTCATTAAGTCCTCACGACGCATAGGAGTACACCGCAACACGCCCGTTTTTACGAACGCACAATAAAACCATGTCCGGTAATATTTTCAGATTGTCAGTGGTCTTGACTCTTAGTTAAAGCTAATAAAGAGAGGACACAGAAAGTTAACGACAGCTTAGGTACTATAAATGATAACTCCTCTGTATCCTTTCGTTGTTAGTATTTATTCGGAAGTCCGGGACATGTTCAGCTGTGACTTCCGAAATGGCTGCAAAATACTCGTACGACACGCCCATCCCTGATTCTGCGTTGACTAGCTTAATGTTAGTCTGATTTATTGCCATCGCAAATCATCACTACCAACAGGGTCTGATTATGAGAAGAAGAAGAAGAAGAAGAAGAAGAAGAAGAAGAAGAAGAAACGGGTTTCTGCTACTGTTCATGTCTCTGACGATGAATCCGCGACGGATGTCGAAACGCCAGGCAAATAAACATATTGTCCCAGCGATCGAGTCTTCTTCTCAATTGCTTCCTGGGACACGCATGTTCGCTTGTATCAGGATCTGATTATGCCCACCAAGGCAAAATACCTTCTTTGATTTCTGTGGTCTACTCTCGCTGCCACAGCCAATCTGCGGCTGCTTGAGAAAGAGAGAGCCTAAGGGTCCCGCTTATTTCGCTGTCAGACTTATTTGAAGGGCTTTCGACTTGCTCCTGCTTTTTGGCACCTGGTGAGTGCACCGTCTGCACTTCAACTAGTTGAGGACATCTGCAGTTGCATTTATGTAGGCGCCGACAATCGCTA